TCAATCGTTGTAAGTGAGCCAACTGCGATGGCAGCCAACAAACTCCAGCGCTTTGCAACAGTTCTCTCGCGCAAATTGATTCTTTCGAAGCGCAGCGATCACCGGCGAGTCGTCGGGGCAGGTCAGCGAGCTCTTTCAGGCGGGTGAAGCTTTCATGTGCCAAAGCTCCGCGCTGGCACCTTTCCGTAGGAACCACCCCGTGACCTCCTTGCGCACCGGAGCAAATCAGAATACCGTCTTCGCACTGGAGAAGCTACAACTCTTCGCGCGCTTCCTGACATGGCAAGCGGCTGGACTGGACAAAGGCACGAACCAAGCGACAGCCAAACATCTGCTTCAAAGAACACGTCCCTCGCTCAATCCTGCCAAGCGGCAAATTGGCATGGGCCGCTCGCATCATAGCACACCTTCACGTGCACAACGCAAAACAAAAAATAAGTGCGTGTCTGTGTGCTTGTGCCTGTGTGTCTCTGTGTGTGTCTGTGTGTGTGTCTGTGTGTGTGTGGTGTGTCTGTGTGTGTGTGTGTGTCTGTGTGTGTGTGTCTCTCTGTGTGCGTGCGTGTGCGCGTGTCTGTGTGTGTGTCTGTGTGTGTGTGTGTGTGTCTGTTTGTGTCTGTGTGTGCCTGGGTGTGTCTGTGTGTGTCTCTGCGTGTCTCTCTGCGTGTCTCTCTGCGTGTGTCTCTGCGTGCGTCTCTGCGTGTGTCTCTGCGTGTGTCTCTGCGTGTGTCTCTGCGTGTTTCTCTGCGTGTGTCTCTACGTGTGTCTCTGCGTGTGTCTCTGCGTGTGTCTCTGCGTGTGTCTCTGCGTGTGTCTCTGCGTGTGTCTCTGCGTGTGTCTCTGCGCGTCTCTGCGCGTGTGTGTGTGTGTGTGTCTCTGCGTGTGTGTGTGTGTGTGTGTGTCTCTGCGTGTGTGTGTGTGTCTCTGCGTGTGTGTGTGTCTCTGCGTGTGTGTGTCTCTGCGTGTGTGTGTGTCTCTGCGTGTGTGTGTCGCTGCGTGTGTGTGTCTCTGCGTGTGTGTGTCTCTGCGTGTGTGTGTCTCTGCGTGTGTGTGTCTCTGCGTGTGTGTGTCTCTGCGTGTGTGTGTCTCTGCGTGTGTGTGTCTCTGCGTGTGTGTGTCTCTGCGTGTGTGTGTCTCTGCGTGTGTGTGTGTGTGTGCGTCTGCGTG